GATGATGGACAGGGGAATTCTGCCTCATGGCAGGGTATGGATTTTAGCCACAGCCTTTCTGCCTGCTCCTACTCCACCTCCTTTCCAGGCACATGGTGCTGACTGTGGGCGTGGAATTCCTCAGGACTCAATTTTACTCCCAACTCCCTTGCTTCAGAAAGATCATTTCATCCTGGGACCAGCAGTTAGTGTAATGGCTATATCACTGAACTCCCATGTAGTCGACTGTGGTTCGGGTCCCGGACCTGGTGGCTTAAACTCACGCTGGGCGTGGGTGCGTGCATGCCAAGATCCCAAGAGGAGAATGGAGGAGAAGGGATTGCAGCGTGGGCATCTTCCCAAGAGGATGAATTCTTGCTTTCTGTCTCTCTGTCTCTCTCTGTCTGGCGAGCACACGCGCCCTATAGCAAAAAACCTCTCCAAAAAAAAAAAAAAAAAAAGATCATTTTATCCCAAACAGTCATGTTGCTTGTCTTCAGTGACTCCCAAATGCATTTATTTTTATTTCTGTTTTCCAGACCTCTCCTCTGATACTGAGATCCGTACTTCTAATCCACAAGTTTGCTCCTTTACTTGGATGCTTTGTGTCTATGACTGAACTTATGATTTCTTCCCTTCCAAATCGGGTGTTCTTCCAGTATTTCCTAATCCAGTGAGGGACTCGTTCAGCCTTCCATGCGGGACCCTGACCAGAAGCTTAGGAACCATCCCTCTCTCTCCTCCCCCTCCCTGCCATGAGTCTTTCTCGGCCTTCTCTCCTACCCTGAGTGTGACTGCTCACGTGGCCTGCCCCAGCTGAGTTCACCCCCTCCCCTGCTCTGACCACTGCTTGCCTGCCTCGTGTTATGGATGCCTGGCTCCTAGTCTCTAACAACTCAGAGTCCTCTCCAGTCCCTTTTCCACACTGAGGCATTTTTTTCAAGATGCAAATTTCACCAGGCCTCTGAAAACCGTCCCATGGCTTCTCATGCCCACAGTCTCCACAGCCTGGTGGCGGCCCTCCCGCCCCCCGCCAGCTGCTGCTCCGCCGCTCTGTCTGCTTCTCTGTGCTCCAGCTGCATGGCCCAGGGCCTCACAACTGCGTGCCTCACTTCCCCTGCCCTGGTTCTCTCTGCTGGGCCTTCAGCGTTCCTGTCTCCTCCTCACAGGCGCCTCTTCCCGCTCTCCCACTCTTTTAGCATGAGATCAAGTCAACACAGGGCCAGCAGATGGTATAATGGTTATGTCGCTGGACTCCCACGTAGTTGTGGTTCGAAGAGGAGAGTGGAAGAGAAGGGTTTGTGGCATGGCCATCCCCCTGCTGGGTAATTTCTTGCTTTCTGTCTCTCTGTTGAGCTCATGTACCCTATGGCAAAAATCTCACTAAAAAAAAAAAAAAACAAGTCAACATAAATCCCTTCCCTGTGAACAGGTGCCCTGATTTTCAAGTTAATATTCATTGTACTTAATTATATATTTATTAAATTTAACATGCCTAAATTTAAGTTTATATTTTTGAGCCATTTCCTCAGAAGTGCCTACTTCCATGAGAGAAGAGGGGGCCCATGTCTGATTTTGCTGCCTGAGTTTCCCAGCACCCAACACAGCACCTGGCACGTAGGGGTTGTTAAGACGCCTGAACCAGTGGATGCACGGATGGCTAGGTCTCCAGGGCCCTGATAAGGCTCTTGCAATAGTCAACAATATACACCCGAAGTTTGTGCCACTCACTTGCAAGGAAGTCCAGGTCCAGGTGTGGCTGAAGGCCACACATGATCTGGATGGTGCAATGCCACCCTAGCCATTTGCTCTTTGTAATTATCGTGTGGCATGAAGTGAGGGGACTGTCAGACCTAGGACCCTCCCTAGTCCTACTGATACTGTGGATCAGTGACCACGTACCTGGAAAAAGCAATGGTACATGTGTCTTCTCCAAGAAGAGACATACCAGCCCAAGTTGCTATTCAAAAAAGAAAAAATAATTGCCATCTCTTCAAGGACCCATTTCTACCACAAACAAGTCCATTTAGGCAACTATTAAGAGAAATTACTATATCTTCAAAGAAATAGTATCATGTTTGAGAAGCTAAAGTACAATGGAAATAATTTTTCTCAAAACATAGAAAGTTCAAAGGTGAATTGATGGCTCTGGGAAATTTCTGTTTACTTTTTTTTTTTTTTTTTTTTTAGGTTTTTGCCATAGGGCACCTGTACTTGCCAAAGAGAGACAGAGACAGTGAGAGGGAAAGTGAGAAATTCCAGAAGGAACCGGCATGCCACAATCCCTTCTCTTCCATGCTCCTCCTTGGATTCTGGCTCACATGCACATGTACCCTGTGTGTTTTTCAAGCCTCTGGGACTCAAACCATGCTGGACCATGTGGGAGTCCAGCACCTTAACCACCATATCACCTGCTGGCCCCTTCAGTCACTTTTAAATAAAATGTTTTCACCTTAAAATAAGATTCAAATATTTCTGGATGCCTTATTCATAAGACAAAATAAAAACTCATTTTTGGGGCCGGCAGGTGGCTTGGTGGTTAAGGGTGCTGGATTTCTAAATTGCCGACTGCGGTTCGAGTCCTGGACCTGGCAGCTTGCTCTCTCTCACTCGCTCACTCTCACTCTCTCACTGTATCCCTCTCTGGTCAAACTGAAATAAATAAATGAATGAATAAATAAAGTTATAAAACAATTTTTTAAAAACCTCATTTTTACTGACTATTGAATACAAAGTGATGAATACCTTTATATGTGAAAATTATTATAACTTTATAGAGCTAGACAGTGGCTCAGTGGTAAAACACGATGCTCTGCAAGGTAGCTCCATGTTGGAAGGTCGCCAGTTCATGCCTGGTAACCTCTGACCAGATACACATGTGCCCATGATCTGGATTCGCTGAGGCTGAGGGTGGATCATGGCACCACGACCCTGTGGTGGAGTCTATCTCTATCTCTCTGCCTCTCACACTCATAGAATAAATAAATTTTTAAAAATAAATTACACCTTTTTATATAAAACATAAATGCTTATTTTTTTCCTCCATTATTTTGCTTGTTTATAGACATGTTCCAGGAATACTTTAACATGAATTACAATAACAAATAAAATATGGCAAACTAACATAAATAACGAGCAAGTTAAACATTCAAAGAAAAAAATAAGAAATTGAATACAAGAATGAGACCAATTTTCCAAAATGCCTTCTGGAAGGACCATTATACTGCCAGACATTATTCATTGCCCAGCAGCCATCTTCCTCCTCCGCCTTCTATAGAGCCTGATTCTGTGACGATATTGAGTGTCTTGTGCTCAGTCCTACAGGGTGAACCATGATGACTCTGAGAGTCAGGGATCCCTAAAGGGTTGTCCTTATTGGTTGGACTTTTAGTGAGATCTCTTACTATAGCTGAGAGTGTCCTGACTAATATACTTGGTACGATTTCCAATTTAGCTTTAGGGCTTCCAGGAGACAACACCAAAAGAGATCATTAATACAGGGACCAGCAGATGGCGTAATGGCTACGTTGCTGGGTTCCTATGTAATTGACCAGGGTTCAAGTCCTGGACCTGGTGACTTAAAGTCTCATCCGGCACCTGTGTGTGCATGCCCAAGATCCTGAGAGGATAATGGAGAAGGGATTGTGGTGTAGCCATCTCTCCTAGGGGGTGATTTCTCACTTTCTGTCTCTCAGTCTCTCTCGGTCTTTTTGGTGAGCACACACGCCCTATAGCAAAAACCTCTCAAAAAAAAATCATTAATACAAAATAGTTTACTATCCATAAAACAAAAATAGGCCTTTGTTTCACACAAAGTACAATAAGGCTAAGACTAAGACCAGGGTCTACAGGGACCCACTCATTTGTCCAGTGCGTATAAAATCCTTAATGAAAACAGCAAAGATAAACATACTATAATCAACTGTTCAAGCCAAGTTGGCATTCTTTTTGGATATAATTTACTACTTACCTCGAAGTTTCATTTTCTACGTATTCCTTAGTTAGAACATTATTGTTTCAGCCAAATAAAAATGCATTGAATAAATGACTTTGAACTGTGAGTGCAGAAGAGTTGTCTTTTGAAAGCCTTTGACTTGCAGAACCCAAACCCCTTAGTCTGTGGGTTAGCAGACCAGTGGAATGGGTAGAAAAATTATTCACATGATTTCCCTATACTTCTCTTAGAAAGAACATGCGCTACGCTGTTTATCTTCAGAAGAAATTGTAGGCATTTAACAGGACAAGGAAACATCATAATCTTACCAAAAATTGCTTTCCCCTTTGAATAATGACACAAGAGGACATTTTGTTTTATTCATAGTTGTGTTTTAAGAACAAATCAACTTCTTTCTTGATTATCTGTTTGAGTATGTATAACCAGTTTACAAAGAAAAGAATCAAACACAGTACTGGGAGAAAAAATGTCCCCTGCCAACTTGTCTTGGCTACTAGAAACACATGGCAACTGCTATAGCTGCCAGCCTACCAGGAATAATCCCCACTTCAAGCCCGATAAAGCTCATTGACTGGTTTAATAATGAGAACTTGCTAATGTGGGCAAGTGAAACATATCTTTGGAAAGGAATGCTGTCCATACTGGGAAGTTGTTGAGAAGTCTCGAGTTCTTGCCATAACTAACCTAAAGCTGCATTACTAAACTAAACTATGACTTCATCCCCAAATGCAAGCTAGCTGCCTGCTTCTCTAATCCTCATGGAGAACGATACTAAGAAAAGATTAATTTGAAAATAACATAGAGGGGAGAGACTTCATATTCATTTGAACAAAATGAAGGAACCAGGCTACGTGACTTCAAAGAAGCCTCCATGCAGATCCTGGTGTAGGGGGGCCCATGTGCCCCACAACACAGATAGCACAGAGAGAAAAGAAACAACAAATTATTGATGACAGTTTCCAGTGGGGCTCTTGAAGGAGTAGAAATGGAATGGTCATCTTCCACATCAGGCTTTGCATCCTAGCAGTTGCAACACCTCAAACTTCACTGTACATCCTAGTTTTCTCTAGTAAAAGGGAACAGTCCCATTCCAGTTGATGGTGGCCTCTCTCCACTTGGTTTTGATGGCCATTTCCACTGGAGAAAACCTTCTTCCTGGTCCGTGTTTGTCTTCATGTTGGTCCCTTTCCCAGTGATGGGCATGAGTATCTGAGGAAGGAACAGACACTCAGCAATTAGATCCAAACCTATGTACACTGTTCCAAAGAAAGCCAGGTAAGAAGGGGGAAAGGGTAGGTGGGTAGGAGTTGGGCCCAGCAAATGGTGTTGCTAGAAATGGTAATACAGAGGGAGATGTGAGCGAATGGTAAATTGAAATGCCCCGTGCACAACAGGGTCAGTAGGAACTGGGTTGTTGATTTTTTTGTGATGTAAATACGGGTAATTGCGTGCCACACCTTTCAGCAAAAAACATGGTGTGACACTTATGTAGAACCAGGTGTAGGCCACTGATGTTGTCAGGAGAAACCGAGAAAGGGAAGGCTCACCATTTGACAATGCTTCCTTCTAAAAGTACTTTGGTGGGGCCAGCAGGTGGCATAGTGGTTAGACAGTGGTTTGAGTCCCAGACCCAGCGACTTGCAAATCATGCCAGACATGTGAGTTTGTGTGTGTGTGACCTAAATCCTGAGAGGAGAATGGAGGGGAAGGAACTGTGGTGTGGCCATCCTCCCTGGGTGGTGATTTCTCACTTTCCCTCTCTTTGTCTCTCTGGCAAATGTATGTACCCTATGGCAAAAACCTAAATACAAAAAAGTACCTTTGCAAGTCTGGGTGGAAGTTGAGGCATCTTAGAGGGGTAATCTAGAACTGGTTTAGGGACCAGCAGTTAGCATAATGGCTATGTCTCTATGGCTATGAACTCCCATGTAGTTGACCGCGGTTCGAGTCCCAGACCCAGTGGCTTAAATTCACACCGGGCGCGTGTGCATGCGTGCCCAAGATCCCGAGAGGAGAACGGAGAAGAAGGGATTGCGGCATGGCCATCCCCCCCGGGGGGTGATTTCTCACTTTCTGTCTCTCTGTCTGTCTCTAGCACAATCCCTTTTCCTCCGTTCTCCTCTCGGGATCTTGGGCACGCACGCACACGCGCCCGGTGTGAGTTTAAGCCACTGGGTCCTGGACTCGAACCGCGGTCAACTACATGGGAGTCCAGTGACATAGCCATTACACTAACTGCTGGTCCCCCCAAGAAAGAACTGGTTTTAAGATCCAGGTTTGTCTCATATGAGTTGAGTGACATTTGAAAAGTACCTAACAGCTATTGGTAGGCCTCATTTATTCAATTAGCAACTATTTACTGGGTACTTCAGCCCCCTCTCCATAAAGGAGAGATGCTAGTTCCCACCTGACATGTGCATTCTGGATTTAAAGGGATGATGTACCTAAGGGTTTCAACCAGTCCCCAGAGCAGAATACGTGTGACGTATGTGAGCTTTAAAAAAATTTTTTTTTCCCTCAAGACAGTTGAAGTAGTAATGCTAATATATTTGGCCAGACCTGTAGTGTAGCCTACTGCTTAAGGGAGCTAGATCCCACATGCCCAACTGTGGTTTGGGTCCCAGCCCCAGCAGCTTCAAAAATAAAGCAGGCTCATGTGCATCCATGCCCCAAATCTCAACTGGATGGAAAAGTGGGACAGAAGGGATTGTGGCATGACCATGCCTTATTGTAGGGTCCTTTTTAAGGGCCATACTGTCAATGTCACACTATATTCAATGGGTTTATTGTGTTTTTCTCATAACTTAAAAAAAAAAAAAAAGGAATTAGGAGAAAAAAAAGAAAAAGAATAGATCAAATAGTTACTAAGGCCCAGTGGCACTGTGGGTACTAAACTGAACTGCAGTGCTGGAAGCTGTATGGCCTATCTTGAGTTCAGATCCCCAGGCCAGAGTGAAAATATGCCAGGCATGTGCACGCCCAAGATCCCGACAGCTGGAGCCTGTGGAAGGGGACTGCCATCTTCTGAGACCTTGCTCATGGTGCTCCTCTCTCTCTAGCACATGCACATACTCTCGATCACGGATAAAACAAATAAACCCAAAGAATTAGTCACTGAGATACTTTTTAAATGTAGTGATAATAATAGAAGGTTATTTAGACCTGTGAAGCTAAATGCAGTCAGATATCAACAAGGCTCCATTAATGGAGCCGAAGCTGCTGGATACAAACTCCCAGTCTGGGGACCAGCAGATGGCATAATGGTCATGTTGCTGGACTCCCACGTAGTCAACTGTGGTTCGAATCCCAGACCTGGCGGCTTAAAACTCATGCTGGGCGTATATGCATGCGTGCCCAAAATCCTGAGAGGAGAAAGGATTGTGGCATGGCCATCCCTCCAGGGGGTAATTTTTTATTTTCTGTCTCTCTGTCTCTGTCTCTCCAGCAAGCATATGCACCCTATAGCAAAATCTCTTGAAAAAAAAGAAAAAGAAAAAAAGAAAACTTCCAGTCTGTCACTTTATTCCCTTGTCCGAGGGACCAGTGTTCAAAAGAATTTTAAGGTTAGTCTTGTTGCCTCATGAATTCAAAAAAGTATGGCCAAAATGGAAATGAATGACCCATTGGACTGGACCTTTCTAAACTTGCTGAGTCTGTGCCTTATGCATTGTTTCCCTCATATCTGGCCCCGGGCCTGGCAGGCAGTAGGCCCTCCTAAATGCCTTTTGACTAATTTGAACAGAAATGCACTATCAGTGTAGTTACTCGGTCACGGGGTGATTTTCTGAGGATTGGTTGTGGGAGAGGACTGGTCTGCCCTTTGTTCCCTTTGCTTTCCCAGTCTTTCCTCAGGTATTAAGCACTTCTCCCTGAAAAACAATTGGAGGCCCTGGACAAGGCACTGTTTGGAGACTGGACTCCTCACCTTTTGTTTTTCCTACCTAAAAGTTGTTTATTCCTCTTTGGTATTTTTAACCCCCTGTTCCTATTTAAAGTAGGTTTAGAATTTCCACATTATGAGGCCTGGGTTTAGACACAAGTACAGGCCTCCTTTCCGAGAGTGAGGCTGAGCATTGTGCTACAGAGCTAGCGTGAAGACCCACCCTCCTTCCTCTTAGACACCAACGGCTGGGTCTCTTCGTGCACATGAAAACACACACCTCTCAGCGTCTGGAAGGCTCACCTATTGTAAGATGCACAGGCTTCCGCTGTGTGGGCTGGCCACTGTAAAAGTACAGATCAAAGAGACGCTCCATTTTCCAGTCTGATAAGAGCTGCTTGTTGGTGCAAAAAAGGATGCTGTAATTCCCATTGATGTTGCACAGCCAAACAGGTACTTTGGGGGTCTTCAGCATACTGCCCACCTGCAAGAGGCGAGGGGAAGGCAGACGAATATATAGATGTTGTCGACAGGGGCTGTTACATCATCAGGACCCGAAAGGTGGCTCGTCTTGTCCCACTCGCAGCCATGCAGCACACTGCATGTAGAGATTGGAAATGAAGGCTTTCGCATGATCGATTTGCATTTGTGAGTGACATGGTGTAGCAGTGATGCAGTGGTTGTTTTTCTTAGTGGATTATATATATATATTTTAATTCGAAGTGACCTCATGGAGGAATGGAACACCTTCAGTTTGGTTTCTGAGGTGAGGGGAAAATGAAATATGAAGAACCTTCAAAAACATTCAGGGAAATGCCTATTATGAAAACAAGTACGCATGGGCTTCACAATTTGCTCAAAAATGGACTTGTATTTCCATTTCATTTGTCCATAAACTTTTTAAAGTCCCTGGGTATATATGGGGTGCACTAAGAGAACTCAAATTCTGTCTGTGTCATTGACTACTGATTTTGCTCCTATGGCCAGACAGGACAATACTTCATTTAGCAAGTGTCAGACTTCTGGAAACACTAACCATTTATAATCTAGAAGACAGAATATTTAGAATACAGAAAAATGCTTCTGGGAGTGAGGGGATTACACACGTACACTCACACATGTAGACATACATCTACACGTTTACACGTAGATCAATTCTGAAGGTGTACTTAGAGTACAGAGTAGTAAATTTGCTATCTTAACCAGCTTACTGTCTGTCTCTTTTTTTTTTTTCTTTCCCCAGGCAACTATCAGCCTTGAATTCTCATGGCTAGTAAATTAGATACTCGCTGGGGGCCCCATAGTAAAAGGCAGAGGTCCTATACATCAGAACGCCCTGTAGACATCATGCTATTACAGTGGATTTCTTAATTGATACCCATTATTTTGTTTAAAAAAGCAGAAAAGAATGTATTTTTAAAATACTTCCGTTAAAATGCGTTAAAATATATTTTTTTTCTACTTAAAGAGATGAGCAGAAGCTACATGGAAAAAGCCATGATTCCTACGTGATGCCCAGGAGACTTACGCCCTTAGTTTGGCATTTCTTCCTATAATGGAAGGATCCAGTGTTTCCATTCTGCTTTTTTTTCCTCCTCAGTCCTCAGAGTTGTACTGTTTGTTCAGGATCAAATTCCATTTTATGGCAAATCCAGCTTTACGAAATTATCACGTGCTTTGTAAACCCAAGTATTAAAGGCTAATAACTTGACATTTTGATTTCTCAATAGTTCTATTCAAGTCTCTGGGTTTTCTTCAGTTTGAGTTCTTTGGTTGTGGGCGAGTGGGTGAATCAGAGATGCTTTTGTCTTTAAGTGTTTCCCTTCTAGCTACCATAGAAGAGTATATATTACTGTGCTTAAAAGAAAGGACCTCAGCTTTTGTTGGTAGTTTATAAACAGGGTGCAAGCCTAGAACCCCATCAGATCATGCTCACAGGGAGTGCAAGATTTACTCACCCAGTCAGATTAGAATTGGGCCCCTGGGCTGAGTATCTCACATATCAAACGTGGGGCAAACCTGCCCACTGTTCAGAAATAAAGCAAGGAGGATGTGCAGTGAAACAGCCCCACGTCCAAGTTCAGATATCCCCTCCGAAGTTCCAAAACGCCTCTACAATCAGTCATTGGCTACAAAGTAAGCTCTTTCTTCCTTAGGCTTTCTTGTGTTAGTGCCCTTCTGTGCTCAAGGTCACACACGGTCAAAACAGGATATGCAGGACATGGAATTCATAAGATTGGAAAATTCAGATACACAGGAGATTGAGGACTGCTCGTAATAAAATGCCATTCCATGTAAACTCTAAGTGAATAGACTGGTCAATTCTTTGTTTTTAAAGGATTATTCACTTATTTAATTCTATTTGTTGTTGTTATTTTTTAACTTGACCAGAGAGAGAGAGGGAAAGCAAGAAAGCAAGCTGCCAGGTCCAGGACTTGAACTGCAGTTGGCAGTTGAATCCAGCACCTTTAACCACCATGCCACCTGCTGGCCCCAGTCTGGTGAATTTTAAAACAATGAAAGCCACAAATGGTGTCAGAGTGGATGTAATAGAATATGCACACGTATGACACTGCTTCACAGAATTTCGTAGGCCAAATCCGACGGGCAGTCAGAGGAGCAGGTCCCACTGGGTCTTGGCACCAAACGATTGGTATTTTATGCAGCAATGGAACTGTTTTCTTTCCTGAACTCAAGGCTACTCAAGATTCTGTAGGGGTAGGAGGAAAATGAAGTAGTCAAAATATACTTTCAACCCCCACAAAATGACCATACGGTGATCTCACACCGAGCGGGCAGAGCCTCACTTCTCTTGAGAGATTCTGGTGAAAAAGGAAATGTCATGCAGACTCTCATAGCATTTGAGCATTCATTTTAAGAGGGGAGCTTTAAGATTGCAGCTGACAGCACACCTGGTGAAAGTTAAGTCCTGCAAAATCCAAACAAACCACCTTCCAAGCAAAGCCAGCCAGATTCCTCCTCCCCTCTCTTGGCACATCACATAAGCAGTTTGACTGGAATTTTCTGCTTTAAGCATTTGTATTGCTTCTGGATATAGTTTACCAGCTACCCCCCCAAAAGCAAGATTCTAAATATGTTTTATTGGTGAGATTCCACCAATGCTGAATTTGTGCATGTTGCTGCATGTTGCCATGGTAAAGAGGAAATTAAATTGTGATACAGTGGTACTATAAATAAAATATCTTCCTCTTTAAGTTCATTCATTGTGTAATAAGCCCAATAGTTTCAGCATTACATGCCGCAGTCAAGCCTTCCAGAACATATATCATTTAAATCCATGTCAAATGATAAGAATAGGAAAAAGGATAGACAAATTCTACATACTAGAGGGCAAGAATTGCACCCGTGTGATTCCTTTTTTCATGCCATCTAGAACAATAGTGCTTAGAACGTGCCTTTGCATAATGAGTTTGATATTTTACATCTCAAGGCCCCAGGCTGGTAATCTGAGTGGAAGAAAGGTGCTGGAAATGTTATGCTTTCTTCGCTGCTTCCTGGTGACAATCCCAGCACATAACCGTTAATGGTCTGGCTCTCATTTCTGCCACCTGGAATACAGAGCCGATGTCATTTCCCTCACTGAGTTTGCAGGAATGTTGTAAAGACAAATTAGTTGATGTTTGCAGAACGCCACCTCCGTGACTTGGTGGCGGAGGGCAGTGGGTGGAGTTTCATTTGCTACCTTTATGGCTGGGTTTCTTTCTATTACACGCTCTAGAGGGAAAATGTAAAAAGGGAAGAGGGTACTCCTGGGATGGTGGTGTGCACTGCCAGGGCTGCCCTGGGAGTAATTCTGGCAAGACCTAAATAGCTTCAGTCCCTCCTAAAAAGTCAGAGTTGATTTTTCTTCTCAGTGGCAGGTACGAAGATAATGTGAACCTCCTAAGGCTTTCCAGATGGTGTTAGACTCAAACTGCTTTATGTTCTCACTTAGGTATTGGAACCTCACACTCAAACCTGTACCTTCAAATAGAAAAGTAACAGGGAGGCTTTATAATAGTGCCTCATCTTGTGGGTAGCTGGCTGCAGCCTGCTGCAACTGTCAGTCTTGTGGGCTCCGGGGGACTTGCCATGTCATCTAATAAGAACTCCATCTTTTTTTTTTTTTTTTTTAACCCATTGGGCTGTGACATTGGGACTGAAAGACATGCGTTTTTACAGTCTCTGCAGTTTTATCACAGAATAAGAAGAGATGGACCTAAGGAAGACAAGAGGCAGCGTTGTAAGATGGGTTTCACCTCAATGACCAAATCAGGTAGCTGGTAGGTTTCCTCTCAACTCAGAGATCAGCTTTCCCATCTGAGGTTGTTGTTATTAGTGCATTCAGACTATATTCAGATTTGTTGCACCCACCCTAGGTAGGAGCCACTGAATATATAGTTGGCATATTCCCAGGTCCTGTACTGAGCTGCCATGCCTCCAGTCAAAAAGGAGGGACCATGGTTGTGGGACTCTTCAAGGCAGTTGTACGTACTGTGCTGTTGTAGAACCATGTTACAATTTTTTTCAAGCACACTTCTGGTCTGAAAGGTGTTTCAACTCTCTGCCTGGACATGATGAAATATTAGATTTCTGGGTACACCGAAGTCAGACCAGATGGGTCTTCCAATCAGCACGTCTCTGAGTACCACTGTTCCCTGGGACTGAAGAGCTCCATACACCTGACAGATGGGATCTGCCAAACCAGGAGCTCCGGAACACACCCTGAGAGAGTGTGTTCCGGAGCCTCACAACTGCTTTGATCTAGAAGTCAATGGATAGAACGCTAGCTTGTTGCGCAAGACCGGCTTTCATTCCAACACCTAGCCCTGATGTGCCACTGTCTACATGTTATAGACCAACATCAATGTTCCTGCGGTGGACATGATCAATTCCACACGACGCATCTATTCCTACATGACAAATTATTACAGCACCAGTGAGAACTGGTATTTCTACATCTACCACTTTATCAGAAAACAAGCAAAGATGGTAATGACAGGCAGCCTGGCACTGCGGGCAGAAAGTGAGTTTTGACTACTGATAGAACTGACCTCCTTCCCCTGGCTCTGACATGTCGCTGGTGGCTTTGGGCAAGTCCCTGCATCTGCCTTAGTCCAGCTTCTCTCACCTCTAAAATGGATGACCAAGCCACAGACATTGGACTTAAAGTGTCATCGATTACAACTTCGGGTGGAAGTGAGGGTTAAATGAAAAAAGAAATCATTGCAAATGGCTTGTGACCTGACACACAGTTAGGTGCTGTATGCACGTGGCTACGGGCTTGCCAATGAGTAGATAAGCTTCATACTTAACATCCTTCAACTTCCGGGGTGGTGAGAAATACATACATATGCTTACATGTAGGTACCAAATTATTTCAAATTAAATATGTGTGTGTGTGTGTGTGTGTGTGTGTGTGTACATTCCCCCTCTTACCCTAAAATAATGAGCTGATATGGAAAGAATAAAAAGTACCTTCAG